GATAATACTTATTAATATTCTTCATCTGAACAGTGAGTGAACTCTTATTCCTCCCCTCAAGTCTTGATTGTGATAATGTTCCAGATAAAAGGTAACTAGAAGAAATCTTGTCTATATGAAATAGAATTGATAATGAACTTTACAGAAAAAATGAATGAGTGCTATGGACTGTTTTAGGATGTAGAAAACCATTATTTTCTCCCTCAGTAAAGGCAAGTCCCTTCAAATGCCCTACTTCATCTTTCTCTTGGCTATAACAGTAAAATATCAGACATATCTAAAATGTAGACTATGGAAAATTGTGAAAGTGTGTATTTCATATAAGGAGAAATCTTCCAGGTAATCTTTTGGAATAAGAACAACTAAACTTTCAGATGTTGTAAGTCCTTTATGTAGCTGGGGGAGGGGGTAGCTTATTGGAATAATTCTTTGTACCTTTTGTAACTGAAAGGAGTTCATTTGAAAGATTCAAAGAATCAGAGGCTTATTTGTGATGGACTGGTGACCTTAAAGGAATAGTGGAGAATGGAAGCTATGCCACAAAACTGCAAATAGGCAAATATTTCATTTTGAAAAAACAAGGAAGAAGGTAGATTGTACATTTAAGTTGGACAGCTTGACATTAATCCTTAGCAAAATTCTAGATTATTAAACCTATGTCTTGTGACACTTTGAAAAATAAAGTAGTAATCACTACAAGACAATCTGAATTAATACAGGATTAACTTATTACATAGGTAGATTAGGAAAATATAATAAACATTACATGAATTTCATCAAAACATTTAAGAAGTTATTCCACAAAATCCTTGTGAACAAATTATGGATATATAGGCTGAATGATGGGTATAACCTGATTTTATTGAAACATCTAGCCTAAAGAAGACTTAATGGACCATCATCAGTCATCAGGTGGTCTGTGGCAGACCACAAAGCTCTGTTCTTGACTCTCGTCAAGTGAACGTTTTTATCAGTGATTTAGATGAAGGTATAACTTTAGTGTTTATGAGATTGACCAAGGGAAATATAAGAAGCAGAGTGCTATATGATGGAAAGATGACAAGGCTTGAAATCAAGAGACACTTTGGTTCACATTCTGCTTGTGACCTTGAACAAGTAATTTCACCTCTGAGCATCAGTCTCCTCAACCTGTAAAATGGAAATAATGAGGTCTGTAATATCTCCTAGGGCTGTTGTGAGGATCAGATGAGATAATGCATTATAAATTGTTTATAAATGTTTAAATGCTATAGAAATGTCATCAATTATTATAATACCTGGAATGATATAACTAAAATTTATATAGCAATTTAAGGTTTGCAAAGTGCTTTTCGTGTATTATCTCATTTGATCTCACAACCCACAACAATTTTATATGGATAAATATAAAGTTTTCTACTTAAGTTAAAAGAAAGTCAAATATATGAGCACAGAGTTGAAAAAGGTATGTCTGAATGATATTTTTATATGAAAAAGACATGCGAATTTAAGTGAACAAATATATTCAATCTAAGAGAGTAGCGTGATGTGGAAACCTAAATAGTTTAAGTCTACATTAATAGAAGGATTATGTCCACAACAAGGGAAAGATGAGTCCTACTATACACTGCCATGATCAGACCACATATGCCATATTATATTCCTTTCAGGATGTTTTATTGTAGGAAGGCTGTTGACAGACTAAAGCTCATTCAGTTGAAGGTGGCCAGCATGGTGAAGAGACTCAAACCCTCATCATTTGAGATTCAGTTGGAAAGTGCAGCTATTTAGCAGGGAACGTTATCTCTATCTTCAACTGTTTGAAGGGTGGTTATGTCAAAAGGGAATTTAGGGTGATTTTATTGGATTACAGCAGGCAGAACTGAACTAAGGGTAAAAGTTATAGGAAAGTAGATTTTGGCTCAGTATGAAGAAGAATTGCCTAATGATTAGAAGTATCCTAAAAGTAGAACGGACTCCCTCAGGAAATAATTTTCTTATCACATAAAGTCTTCAAGGAAGTGTTGGATTGCAAGGATCACTTGTTGGGAATGCCATAGATCTCTACTTAAGAACAGGATCTGATGTGATTTAATGTACCTTTCCCACTCAGATCTTTACTAGGCTGCTGTTTGAAATCGAGTGAGTTTGATTTATTGCTTCAGTGATATTAGCATTGGATTAATACAAGGAGCTGAAGTTCTCTTTTCCCTTTAAAATCTATAGTCAATGAGGTTTGTGCCGCAAGCATAGTCTTAGACAAACCACTGCCAGGCAGTAGGGAAATAGGTAGAAAAAAGACTTGTGAATAATAAAGATATTTTATAGACAAGCTGAATTGTCCACTCTTGGTTGCATCACAGCTAGCAAGGATACATGGGGAAGCTCCAACATTTTCTGCATTTGGCTTGGGTAGCTTTTAGGAGAGGTTCAGTATGTACACTGAAATTGGAATTAAGAGCTAATCAGGAGATAAAAAGCATTCTTAGATAGATTTTAAACGATGAAGAAGTAGAAAAATTACATCAAGAATTTTCCAGCGTCCCCTTAAGTGAGATGATCTATGTGGTGGCTTCCTTGAGAAAGTGGACACAATGGAAGCTGGTGAAAAATGTGAAACATTGGAAACTGTGGTTCAGGATCAAGAAATGAAAAAGACCAAAAATTCATTACTAATGTCTTACTCCTATTATGTCATGAATATGATATGTAACTCAGTGTGGCAGAACCAAAAAATATAACAAATGAAATTGACTATATCTTAGCAAGTGGGAAATAATGATTTACTAACATGTTGTGGTTATTTCATAACCATCTGTCACTATATAGTAAGATCGTTGGTTAGAACAGAGATTAAAATTGAAGCCAAACTAGAAGAATAAAATTAAAAAGATACTGTAGAGAATTATAGCCTAAGCTATTACAACCGTTAGCTCTGAAAAAAAATGCAAAATTGATAAAGGCACCAATTCTGTTGATCACCATTTCTTGGAGAAGTTTGATTAAGAAACAATTGTTACAATAAGGACAACAAAAGAGTCTAGAAAATTCCTTATTAATGCTTCTTGTGAAGAGGAGAAACATGGCAACCTAGGGCAACAGTGATTTAAAATATAAGCTTATTTGCAAAATATTATGGAAGAAGAAATGAAAGATTAGAAGTAATTCTGAGGCAGCTGGTGATATAGTGGATAGAATTCTGGGCCTGGAGTTCAAATGTAGCCTCAGATACTTAACAAGTTGTATGACCCTGAGCAAGTCATTTAGCCTCTGAATCCTTCAATTTCCTCAACTGTAAAATGGGGGAGTAATAGCACCTCCCTCTTAGGGTTGTTTTGAGAATAAAATAAGATAATATTTTATTTATTTTTCTTAATTACCTGTAAATTTTTTAACATTAATTTTTAAAAATTTTGAGTTCCAAATTCTCTCTTCCTCCCTTTGCTTCCTGCCTTGAGAAGGCAAGCAGTTTTATATAGATTATACAAGTGAAATCATGCAAAACATATTTCTAAATTAGCCATGTTACAAAAGAAACAGAAACTGGAAGAAAAAAAAAACACCCAAGAAAAATAAAATTTTAAAAAGTATGCTTCAATCCGCATTCAGATTCCATCAGTTCTTTCTCCGGAGGTGTATAGCATTTTTTCATCATAATTCTTTCATAATTGTCTTGGATAAAATGAGATAATATTTGTAAAAAGTGCTTAGCACAGTGCCTGGCACATAAAAGGTCCCATAAAAATGCTTATTCCTTTCCTCTTACCCCAATACTGCCTCACAAAACAGCAAAAGGCATAGGAGGGGAAAATATGCCTGTAGAAAGCTTGTTGTGAAAGGAAGACAACAATTAGGTATAAGATGGAACATCTCTGCCACTGTGACCATAGCAACTGTTAACTGTTTTAATATGGACTGAAGCATACTGTTTTTTACTTTTTCTTTTTTTTTTCATTTTTTTGAATCTTGTTCAAAATAACTAATATGGAAATATTTTATAATTGCACATGTATAACCTATATCTGATAGCTTACTCTCTCAGGGAGGGGATAGGATTTAGAACTCAAAACTTTAAATAAAAATGTTCACAGAGAGAGACTTGAAACAGGGAGACCAACCATAGAGCTATTGTAATAATCCAAGTGGAATAACTAGGTGGCACAGTAGATAGAGTGCCAAGCCTGGAGTCAGATTCATTTTCCTGAGTTCAAATATGGCCTCAGAAATTGACTAGTTGTGTGATCCTGGGCAAGTCACGTAACTCTTTGCCTTAGTTTCTTCATCTATAAAATGAGCTAGAGAAGAAAATGGCAAACCATTCCAGTATCTTTGCCAAAAAAAACCAAACCCTAAATGGGGTCACAAAGAGCCAGACATGACTGAAATAACTAAACAACAACAATAACCCAAGCATGAGGTGATGAGGACCTGCACCAAGGAGGTTGCATTTTCAGGAAGAGAAGGGGGATTGATTATACAAGAGGTGTTGCAAACGTAGAATCTTTTAAAGGGTCCTGCATATAGCATTACAGTGCAGCAATCCCTCTGTTTTCCTAACTTAATATATGAAGAGCTCATCTTGTTTTCTAATTATATCTTTCCTAAATCATATCCCTTATGCTTCTTAAATGGCACTATATGGTACTGTCCTTCTGGTATCAAAAATGACACTTCTTATCCGTGGGAGAGGAAGTAGAAGACTTGATTGACCTGTTGAGGGGAAAAGATTTATCTTAAAACTCTAAGTAGGGCATGTACTTTTAGTTATTTTTTCCAATAATACTGGTATATTTACAGTGATTCATCTATGCTTCTCTCTTGTATATTCTTCATATAGGTGGGAAAGTCAGAAGATGTTAATATTTTGTTACCATTTTTGGTATTAATAATTATAAATAGCTCCCCCGGTGCTCTCACAGTTGTATTATCTCCAATATGGCTCTCCTCTATCTGTATTTGATCAAATCTGACTGCTTTTCCCATCATTGTTCTCTTTAGTACCATTTCTATCTTTTCTATAGGTGCACCTGGGACTGTCGTGTTAAAGTCCAAGTGTGGCAACTAAATTGTTCTTGATGGGGTAAGAGATTTGTTATAAAAATATTTGCATATTTTTCACAATTTTTCTGTTTCTTATCCTCTTTTTATTTTTATCCTTATGTGCCTTCATGATGACTTTGCTTAGTTGGGTTCTTCCTTAAGCTTTCTTTACATTAATTTTGCCAGTGTTTCGCTTTATCTTTTGAAGAAATACTGCTCCATTACCTTTTTCCTTAAGATTTTCTGAAAAACTGATTTGTATTCTAAACCAATGACTTTGGCTGCCATTTTTCTCTTCTTAACAGATTAGGTGTTTGCTGGCTCAAGTGCTTTGTAGGTTCTTGGTCTCATTGTAGCAGTTGATTTGTATCAAGTAAATATCTTCATGAAATTATTATAGTCTGTATTTATGTCTCTTCTTCCATCCATAGTTATTATTTTTAATCATGAGTAATTTCTTTAAATCAAGGTTAAATTATTTCAATCATATACCATATTTCTCATCTTTATTCTTTCTTTTAGATTTGTACTAACTTTGATATTTGTTCTAACAAGTCAGTGACTGACTGCACAGACACTGATTCAGGAATAGTTCACACATCAGTAGCAACTGATTTTCTCTGTCAAAATACAATCTTTTCTTTTTTATTTTTTTGCAGTGTTACTCAGCACTCATAAAGTCTAGCGCTTGCCAATTCTTTCTCAAAATATTCATATTCTATCAACATGATGTTTCTGTGTAGTCTATAAGTCTTTGGCTTCTCTCGTTTCTGATCCATATAAAAAATGTATTACATTTTTTGCCATACTCACTTATTCCTACTTATGCTTCAAAGTCACCAAGTATCAAGGTATATTTTGATTTAATTTGGAGAGTCATAATGAAATTTGTTGAAATTTTCTACCTCTTCATTCTCTGCAATAAATATTGGCATGTGGCCTATTGAGTACCAGCCACAGCTATGTTAAAATTGATTTGAAACTTATGAGTCCTAGCATCCTGAAGCGCCTTGTCTGCCACTTTGCTATCATCATTGCAGAGGTAGAAGGAAGGGAGGAATGGAACTCTTTTGTATTTTTCTTTGTTTTATGAGTTGCTGTGGCCAAAGAATTCATCACTAAGTGACCATGCCTTTTGCTGGTTCTGAGAAAGCAGACTAAGTTTGTTGTCAGGACCATTGTCATGGCATGCAAAAGACCCCACTCTACTTAGATGGTAAATTGTTCAAAATTATTGAATATAGTTATATGTCTGGGAAAATCACTCCTTTGGAGATAAATTTGTGACTCTATGCATGAGAGCAAATAAGGAAGAGAGTTATTAATGTTTAGGTGACATGTAGTTCTCATCTATTAGTGGGATACATCTGGAGGTCACTTAAAGAGACAGCAAAGTGTCCTTTGTACATGGTTATCTTGGAACAAATTTGACTTTGTGGTTTTGCAGAGTTGGCAGATTACAAAGAGTTGTTTTATAAGTATAAACCAAGCCAAGCAATAGCAAACAGCCCTAGTTTCTTCTGGAAGGAAAACATTTGTGTCCATTAGAATATAAGCTCCTTGAGGTTAGGTTCTATTCTTGCTTTTTCTTTGTATCTAGCTTAGCACAGTGCCTGGTATATATTAATCATTTAATGAATGCTTGTTGGTAGATTGTAGTTTTCAGGTTAGGCTATGATACCACACAGGTTCAATAAGCCTCTGTTCAGCCAGTCAATAACCATGAAGTACTTATTATGTGTCAGCACTGTGCTAGGCATTAGGGATACAAATATAAAGAGTGAAATAATTCACACTGAAAAGAGAGTATCTATAGGCTAAATGTAAAGAGAGAAAATAAAAATAAATGCAAAGTTAAACGGCACTTTAGGAGAGAGAAAACTAACAGCAGGGGAAGACAAGAATGGCTTTATGTAGAAGGTATTTGAGCTACAACTTGAAGGAAAAGCAGAATTCTATAATTAAGCAAGCAACATTGATCTAAGTTCAAATTTAGAATTACTCCACTACAGATTACTCAAAGCCTTTCTAGCACAGAAGGCTAGAACTTGTGTTTTCCTGTCATGCCCTTCAGAAACCCAGGATTATCTTCACACCACAAAAGGGCATGAGAGTTTGACTGAAAAATTTCTGTAAAATCTATATACACATTGATACTTTTCTCGATGAAAGTACTAGAAGGAAACAGGCAGCCTTCTGCAAGTGGTAATGCAGAGTAGATACCATTACACAATTGACTGAAAGATATAGGAAATGCAAGGTTATGTTGTGTTTGTTACTTGTTGATTATGAAAAATAATTGAACAAAACATAGTGGAACAAAACATCTTACAAAGTCTTTCTTGCAGTAAAATGTCTCTTGGTCATACATGAGAATTATTCAGTGTTCCTTGAAAAATGTAACTGCAGAGATTAGAGTATTTCTGATCATAAATATCAGGTGAAATGTAAATCAGGGAAATGTATATGGTCTCCACTGTCACAGAGGAGATCCGGCTCAGAGTTCAAGTTGAAGAAGGGCTTGCCTTTGGATGGTAAAGTCCTCCAGATACTCTCCTGCTTTCAGATGACATCCACAGTTCTATCAAGCAGGATATCAGGAGTAAGAACTTCCACTGGCACATTGAATACATCTCCTGTGGCAAATTTATTGGAAAATATAAATAGTCACATTGGATGGTCAGGGATGGGCTTTCACTAAATACATTTGAGTAGATCCATGTTGCTCCTACAGCAGGCAGGAACTGCTAAAAGCAATAGCAAGTCTGCCAAGCTTCCCAGCTACCTCATAAGTATGTGCATGTGTATGTGTGTGTTTTTACATATATATCAGTTATCATTCTTTTACCTTTTTTCTAATTTTTATCACTTTTCCCATTATATATGGGTACTTCCTTATTCTTAGAAGTGTTTGCCAGATGGTAGCCATATAGTTCATAATTATATACTTTAAAAAAAAGGAAACTGTAACACATAAAGCTAAACATTAAAATATTTTTGTTTAGCAGTGTCAAGGCTTATACTACTATATGATGGTACATGTAGTTGTCTAGCAACAGTTCTCCTCCTCCCTCCTCCTCACCCCCAACCATGATACCTCTATTAATTGTTCTTTTGTCCATCTAATTGTTTATTTAATTGATGGCTAGTGACCTCATTAGAGGCTTTTAGCACATGGTGTTAATTGGGCCAAGAAAAGTACTGATTTTTGTCATAGTTTAGTCACAAACAGCATAAGTTAGGCACATGAGAAGAGAACAGGCTCAGGATATGTTGATGACCATATGGGCAGTTTATTATAGTTCAAGAGCACTGAACTAGATGTTAGGAGTCCTATCTTCTAATCCTTGCACTGGTACCATCTTTGAAACCTTGAACTTTTAATTTCACATAGCCTTAGGTTTCCTCTCTATAAATGAAGGGTTGGACTAAGATGGTCAAGTCCCTTACAAAGAATGAAACAGTCTGTACTCTCAAAAAGCTTACTATTCTATTGGAGGAAACTATGTATAAAGATACATATATGTAGATTAAAAACAACAACAAGGTAGTTTAATACAAAATAGGAAGGGAGAGCCCTAGTGCTTTGCTGGGATCAAGGTTAGTTTAGAAGGTAGTGCTTCAGCTGTGTCTTGGAGGAAGAAAATAATTCTATGAGACATAAGTGAGAAAGAAATGCATTGCAAGTGTCCAGGACAGCCAGAGTGCAAAAGCTTAGAGATGTAAGATGGAGTACTTTGTTTGAAAAGTAGAGAGAGAACCAGTTTGAGCCAAAGTGTGTAGAAAGGGGAGAGCTATACAAAGAAACTGGAAAGATAAATTTGGGCAAGGTTGTGAAGGGCTTTAAAGGCTAAAAAGAGAAATATGTATTTGAACCTAAAGACAATGGAGAGCTACTTTGGAGTTTGTTGAATAATGGAGTGAGTAGTGGAGTGGAGTCAGATCTGTGCTTAAGGAAAGTTCGGGTGCCAGATATATAAATTTGTGAATCATTTGCATAGAGATGATAACAAACTATGGAAGTTGATGAGCTCACCAAGTGAGATAATATAGATGGAAAAGAGAAGAGGACCCAGAACAGAGCCTTGAGGGATGCTCATGGTTAATGGGCATGACTTGGGTAAAAAACCAGCAAGAGACTTTAGAAGGGAAGAACAGACAGGAGAACCAGGAGAAAGAAGTGTCATGGGAATTTAGCAAAGAGCATATCCAGGAAGAAGAGGTGATCAATTAAATGCTACAGAGACATCAAGAAGGATCCAGACTGAGAAAAGGACATTAAATTTGTCAGTTAAATCTCTTTGAATTAAGTGTTTTATAGGCATCTGAAACTCAACGTGTCCAAAACTGAACTCATATTTCCTATCCAAATTATCCCTCTTCTAAACCTCTCTATTTCTTTCAAGGATAATTTGAAATTGATAGGATAATTGAAAAAGGATAATTGAAAAAAACCTTTCCAATATTTACTTCCATAAGAACACTTCAGGTTTTTTTCAAGGTAAAATACCATATTTATGGTGTATCTGCTGGTGCAATAGAACCCATGACTGAAGAAGGTTTGGTCTGCACTTCCTTTCCCTGCCTTGTGTCGTGGTCTCCAGCTTGATTTGGCAGCCCAGGGTACAGGCCCAGTGGTAGCCTGTAACTCCCTCAAATACCCTAACATCCCAATCTGCTCAATTCTCATGACCTCCTCCACCTTACCTTAACTACTAACAAGTCATATCTTTGATTTTAGCATCTCTCAAAAATATTCCACTTTCATATTTGTGAACCATGAAATTCCTCTATTTACTTATAATCTTATAACTCCATCTTTCTCTATGTCTTAGACCCCTTTAACCCTGTTCTTCACCCTTACTGTGACTACTAATCCCTCTGTCCCTCAGTTCTTTCTCAGGCTATCACTGTTGTACTGTCTACACTCTCTTTCCTTTCCTTTCTTGACTCATTGGTGAATCAGTTTAGCTCTACTTATCCTCTATATGAATCCCTCACCCCCTTATCCAGTTGCCAATTTACAGCTTGCCAAATCCC